TTGTGTTTAATCGAGTGCACCGGAGTGCGGCAACAAAATTGTTTGTGGGGGACTGATTAATATTTTTTTGTACCTTCAGTTAAGCGATTGGTAGAGGATGTTTTGGAGACCAGATAAACTGCATCATATGATATATCATCGGCAACGTTAATAAAGCTGTCAAGAATATGCGGCAACCCATTTTCTGAAGTGAATGTCTTTCAATCCTTCAGCGCAAAGCAAACTAGGGCCATCTATGGAAAATAGGTGTTTCATTTAGCATCAAAAGAAAAAAGATGAGTTCTATAGGTCTACACGTGAGTGCCAATGTAACTTATTATAACACTGGGGTTCTGCGTCGCCAGTGTTGTAACGGGAAAATCTGACGTGTGTCACCGTTGAATTACGCCCTGCTGAAATCCCCAAGGAAGAACACAATAAAAGGGCATAATTCTAGAATCCACCCTTAGGAGGGTTTATTGGGTACAAAATCTGGAGTTTCTGTCTCGGATGGCAGTTGCCGCTGGTTGATCACCAGCGTGCTCTTTGTCCCACCTCGAGGGCAAGCCCCGGCATTGGGAGCGGCCCAGCGTGTCCTCGCTATCTGTTGTGTGATGCAACTCTCCTGTCTGCTAGGGAGAGTGGCTTAAAAGGGATTGTCAAGTGCGCGTTCACCTGTAGCCCGATTGTGGCATTGGGATTACTGCGACCAGTGGAGCGCCTGCAAGCGCGTGCATTTATGTCCTTCCCAGGGGTAAAGGTCATCACGCGTGGACAGTTATCTCCTGTATGCGGTCAGGGCTAACAAACAAAGGCATTTGACTAGACTCGATGTCTTGGGAAAGTCTGCAAATGTTGCGAGCACTTGGTCAGGCGAGTATCCTAACATGACGAACCTCGAACAGACTGTCTCCTTAAGGGTTAATTAAGCACACATGATACGTTTTAAATTTACTGAAAAAAAATCTACCCTTAACCCAAGACAGAGGTCTATGAGAAAGGAAGGTACACACACAAGACGCTTATATTGGTCATTTTTAAAGGGTATTAATTATTAGTACGATCATCACAAAATGTAATGTGTGGTACAGACTTAGCCGTCTTGACGTAGGAGAGATATAAGGATTATTGAAGGTGTCCAATTAAATGCTACGAAGGCGGTCCCTAAACATAAACAGTTGGCATATGAGCAGCGCCTGACTGCTTGGAGTCTCCATCCCCTCCACTTTAAACAAGACATATGTGATCTTATAGCAACTTTTCAGTTACCAAGTGGAACTGATCTGGATGCCAAGTGGGAGAATCTCTTTCAAATGGCATCGATACCTGCTTAAAGCACGCCTTGAAACAAGGATTATTTTTAAGGCAAGATGGGCGTTAAAAGTTTCGTGGTTAGCTGTGAGCGATAAATGAGCCAACTGCGGTTAGTTTATGTGAGTACATGTTGCGTTCTCTCTAATACACCACATTTATTTGAGTCATTGAATCGCCATCTGGATTCTCTAGAGCAGAGGTCGGGAACATTTTTGCCCAGAGAGCCAAGAAAGCAAATATTTGGAATCTATACTTCAGTGAGAACCCCATAATATATTGCACGATTCAATTCAATTAAATGTGAGTATAATAAGCCGTTGGTTTTATTCATTATAAGAACTAAAATCGCAAAATCTGAAGTTTCTTATTCCAATTTTATGTGAGAGAGCCAGATACAATCATCAAAAGAGCCACACCTGGCTCGCGGGCCGTACGTTCCCGACCCCTGCCCTAGGGTAACGAGAGTGGCGACCGTGCAGTGTAGGCAAGGGCTCACCCCACTCTGTGCCGTTGCCTGGATTCTGTACAAGAGCCGTTTCAGAATCCTGAATAATAGAATTGATGAGTTGCACCTTATGGAATTACCGTAAATGTATATATACGCTCCGAAATCTGGTAAAGCCAATTTACCCCGAGGATTGTGGACTGGTTCATTGGTGTTGCATCATTTAATAAGTAGGATGAAACGAAGCCTCGTAAAATAAACATTCACGCAACAACTACCACCACCACCATCGTCTTCTCGGGTGCAAACGGAAAATATTTGTAAGCCTACAGTCCAAGCTTCACGCCTGGTGTAGTAGCAAAATGGTGCTAGTTTACTGCATCAAACTGAAGAACGAAAAGCAGATCTACCTTTGTTCGGCCGTATTCAGTAGACCGGGTGTGTGGAAAGGGTAGACGGCAGGCATTGGAGGCAACTTTTGCCAGTAGAGCGTAATCGCACACTTTCTTCTTCTTCGCAGTTTCTGGAGCATCGTCTTGCGTGTCCTTGGCGTAAATCTTCAGTATATAGGCGCCTGGCCTAGGTGGGCGTACATAAACGGCAACGCAGCTCTCCTTTTCCAGAACCTCGTGGCGGGCATAACGTCTGAAAGGCAGGAATTATGCGTCGTCAAAACCAAAAACTATGTTTAATGTACACAGACTAGACAATAGCTTTCTACTATTGCGGCTTTTGTTTAATCAGTCAGCAATATTTAGGCGATCCGGCCGGATTTTCTAGGTAAAAGGCAAGGAAGACAAGACTATGTTTTTGGAAGGGAAGCATGTTCGGATTTTGTTGAGAAGCTCAGTTAAATATGCAGAGTAGCATCCTCTATGCGCGCTCCTCTATCATATCACGCAGACGAAGCGGCGGGACGGTATTTCGGGCATTAATATAAAACAATACATTTCAATAGAACATTTCTCACAATAGTCGTATTCAAATCGAAAGGCAGGAGCAAGGCTATGCCAAATAGGTATGAGGTGTGTGATATTTCGGACGAAATAGGTATGAGCAAAATAAAGAACACTAAAGAACCGTCCAGTTTACGCGTAAAACGCATGCTAACATGTGTGTTATTTCGCACGAAATAGAGTTCATTGGGTTAAAGTTTGTGATGGTTGATAAAGGACTACGTTAAGAACTCATTATTGCAGACTGGCTCTTCGTCTGAATAAACAGATTATCCAACCGGCTAACAACCTTCTGATCCATTAGTTTCAGCGCATTTTTTCGAATATATACGTATGAACTTCGAACGCAGTGTCAGGCGTCATGCTCGACGATTGGAATAGTGTGTAGCGTGCGCGTCGTACAGGACTTGCGTCAGCTCGGACAGAGTCAATAGGGCAAACGAGCGCGCAGAACCGAGAGCCTCCGCTCACGTAAAATAGCGTTGTCGGTGGAAGATCACATGATCAACATCAAACAGAGCCTCATCGATGCACCCGAGAAGGGGAGAACAACTCAGGCGAACAACAACCAATGATCAGTCGGCCGGCTGACGTGGGGGAGGCCAATAGGCATATCGACTTGCTTACAATTACGCTGATTCCAAAGGTCACGCACGTCCGCCAGCGGCTTACCTCCCGCAGATCAGATGCATTCAGCGATGAACGCGCAGATC